GCTTCTGAGCTAGATGGCCGCTTGTTTACCTTCAAGCCTTTAAGACCCTAGACACTGTATCTTTTGATAGCTGGGCTCCATCAGCTTTCTTCACCACATTTGCTTATGCATCCACTTTGTCTTTGATGATTATGTCAGGAAGGTGAGCATCATGGAATGCCAGTTTAATAGGACACAGTATTCTTGCATTGAGTGGAGGTCCAATGTCCATCTGCTGCCTTAATACTAAGCATATAAATATATGCACATGGATCTATTTCCCCATCCTCATATATAAATACACATCCATTTTTAAAGGAGCTTTTTATTCACATCTGTGTTTCAAAAACAGATAACATTTATTTTTTAAAATTCAGAAACTATGCAGCATGTCATTTATGTGATGTCCAAGTACGCCCTAGGGAAAAGTTCACGTGAACAGAGAGAGTATGATCTGCTAGTTAGTCAGGTTTAATAATATCATGCCACCGCACACTCAAATCCATAGCACAGCCTTTTGCAAGAAGCAGCTATAACTCTGACCAAGAGCCACTGTGACCCACTCATCTCATCAACAAAGAAAACAAGGATCCAGGCAGCGTGCTCAATAATCAATAATCCCTGAATGTTAGGCCCCCTTCTTAGGTGCCCAGAAGACATGTTCTCACTGCCCCCCACGTGAACAAGAACACAAATGCAACAGAAGGCCCATCTGTCAGGATGCCCCAGAGCCTCTCTTCCCTCCTTGCACTAACCCCAACTGCCCTGAATTGGGATGGGACCTATAGCCCTGAGCCAATGCAATGCCCCAGTGCCAAGCGTGAATGTGCACAGCTGCAGATGGAAAGGTGGAATACTGGGCAGCACTGGTATTTGGTCTTCAGCATGGCACTAAGCTTGAGCATATAAAGGTTATAATCAGGCAGGGATAGCTTGCAGGATGCAGAAGCCTTTACCTTCAGAGTAGTCACACTACAGAATAGTCAGAGAAGGGAGGAAGCTGCCAGGAAGCTAGGGGGCAAACCATGATAAGGAATTAGTACAGTTTGCTATCCCAAATCTGCCGTCCAGAAAATAAAACCACTGCCATCGAGTGATTCCAACTAATTGCTACCGTGTGTAGAGTTTCCAAGGCTGTAAATCTTTCTGGGAGCAGACAACTTCACCTTTCTCCTTCAAAGAAGCTGGTAGATTTGAATCACTGGGCTCAGTCCCATTCTAGAGACAAATATCACACCAGTCTAGTGCTCTTCCCTGGGTTACAGTACTTATGTGGTGTCCCAAACCAAGCCCTCTGACTCCAAGCTCCAGCTAGTAAAAATAAACTCGCCACCTGAAGAAAAAATAAAAACAGAAATTGTTTAAAAACACCCTGTTTTTAAAACTCTGGTTTTATCTTTTATGTAGCAAAACACTGTTAGACTCTCTGGTGACACCGTGGCTCCTGCGGCAGGTGATGCCAGTCTGCTTCGCATCTGAATGTCCTGCCCCATAACTGCCTCTTCAGAGTCCGCTATCCAGAATACCGTCCTTGCTGCGTCAAGGAAAGTGCTGGATGAAAACGGCTACCGGGCTCTTCTCAGCTCCTTCGTGTTGTTCTTCGTTTTAGACAGCTGTGAAAACGTCCCGTGACAATGGCGAGAAGGCGGCTTTGGCTGGATTGGAGTAAGAACCTCAGCTGGTGGGGTGTTTGCGTGCTGTTCTCTATGACTTGCTTCCCGCACACGTCCTCCTGCTATAACTGCCGCAAAAGCCATGACTGGGCCTGAGTCTTGTGATGCTGCTGGGCTATTTCCTCTGCCAGGCAGGACCCACACCCTGGCTGCTCGGTGCTGATTTGCTCTCTGCAGCAGCAGCACACTCTACACTTCCCTCACACCAGGTCATGCACCGACTTTGGGGAACATGCCCTTTGTTTTAAAAATGCTCTGTGGAGCAAGATTCCCTCGAGATCCCCGCAGGTGGTGGCTAGGTGGTATAAAGGAGCCTCCTTCTTCAGGAGCAGGCACACACAGAGAAGAATGGGACGCAGAGACGCACAGTATGCAAGCATTTCTTTTCCTCAAATGACTCCATATCATGTCATTACTGCTGTGTTGGCCAAATGGACCCACGGGAAGAAGATGTCCAACACACAGCTCCCACAGCCCTTCCTGCCTCCAGGAATCCTTACTGCAGGGCAAACATCTTTCAGACAGTCCTTTGCCCATCCTCACTTCTGCACCCAGACAGATCTGTTTGGGAAGACAGCTCCATCAGGCTGGCACAGGAGACCCAGGCTGGACGAAGTCAGACTCAGCCTTCCTGAGGACCACCGAGTCTTCCCTGAGGGCACGGAAAAGCAATGAGTGGCCACAACCTGGATGGTCCACTAGATTTGTGTTCTACAGACAGAACTCTTGCCGTCATTGAGATATCCTGAGAAGAGTTAAGGTCAGTGGCTGCATGTGTTGGGGAAACTAAGCAAGTCAACCTGAATTAAGGCGAGAATGAGAGGATAGCAGTGAAAGGGCCGCTGTGGCTCATTTAAGAAGTAACATCAGCAGTTCGCATGACAAGTGGTGTGGGAAACAGAAAGGCTGTTCCCCAGGTTGTCCCTATATTACATGCCACACCTAAGACGGTGCTTGCTAACACATGGTCAATGACTGCACACTTGGAGGTCAACTGCTTAAACGTTATCTCCCTGAGGGTTATCAGCCATCCTAAGTGATCATACCCTACAGTCTGTCCCACCCTAGGTGGGGCCTACTCCCTTCTGATAAGGGTAGTGGATTGTTCCCCTGAAGGGGAGCCCAAAGACAAGGTCAAGCCCACTCAAGAAGACCAAGGTTAGGCTGCCATCTTGACTTTAGAGTCCGCCCATCTTGTCACATGTGTACCCCTAGTGTCTCCCCTTCCTATTGCGTGTACAACTCCTAGCTTGTCCCCCTCCTGTTGCACGCAAGTCTATTGTACAAGCCCTTCCTGTTATGATGTAATTAGGGGGACTTGCACATCCCCTAAGTGTATATAAGCCGTGACTGGAAATATTCTCTCTCTCTCTCCACAGACCTGGCTGCTGAGATCATGGCCATCCGGGAGGTGAGCAACTGCATGCTCTATCTTGTCTGATGTCTCTTTAAATCTACCCCTCAATTATACAACCGCCCTTGGACCCATTCGTTTGTGGAGGCTGCTACTCCACAAGTGGGCACTACAGGAACAGCTGCTATTTTCATAATTCAAAGTCTGGAGGACAATGAAGGAGCTCGCTTAAGCGCCAATTTGAGTACCTGCATAGAGTCGATATTCCTAAATTAAATGAGGAAAAACAAGCCTACAAAGAGCAGAAGCTTCCAAGCCTTATCTGGGGCCTGCTGAGTGTGTGGTCCTGGATACATGCACACCCTGCCTAAGCAATTGGGCCCATCAACCTAACAGAAGGCAGGCTCGAGAAGACCCTTTGGGGAGTTGTCAGGTTATGACGTGACAGTGTGGCTGGAAGGGTGGGCTCCTGAGAAAGGCTCTAACTTCTATCTTATGGGTGCCCCAGGACAGCACCCGCATCTCTTGGGGAGGGTGAGGGGAGAGGAAGAAATAATCTGCCCCGGGCCAGGCTGCTGTGCCCACTTCCAAGGAGACGCACTCAAGCTCTGGGGGCCAGTGGGACCATCTAGGACACGGCTGAATTCTGTCTGAATATATGAGGGAGTACCCGTACCCCCCCCCCACCAAATGGTTAAAAAGCTCTACGGGGCAGCTTTCATAGAATGCATTTTTCCTGCTAGGTGAGCATCGCTCTGAGTTAGTGCACCCAGTGGCGTCACCTGAGAAGGTTCTCCCTGGTCACAGTGAATTTTTCCCAAAAACGCAGTTTTGCTGGAACCTCATTTTTTGTGATGGCTGATTTAAGAGAAGAGTGTGGCTGTGAAATTTTATTTCCTGCTCAGGAAAAATACCACAGAAACTGTTGTGATACTGAACACAGTTTACAAGGGCAGCACTACGGAACAACTCAAGTGTAAGAGTGGTTTTCTCATTTCAAAAAAGGTCAAATGTTGACCGATGACAAACCTGGTCAGACTGTTAATCAAGTTTTCTATTGCCACCAGGACAATGTACATGCTCACGCAGCCATCCAGGGCACCAGTTTATGGCAAAAACAACATGCTTCTCTTGGCCCACACACTTAACTCACCTGACCTCGCTCCATGAGACTTCTTTTGGTTTCCAAGAATGAGTTGGGACATTAAAGGAACAGCAATTTGATGAAGTAGAAGACGTGAAGAAAAAAAATGAGGGAGGTGCTGTCCGCTATTCAACATGAGTTTGAGAAATGTTTCCAAGAATGGAATCACAGATTTGACAAATGTACTACGGGTAATGGAGAGTACTTTAAAGGTGATAAGGTTGTTTTGTAAAAAAAATTTATTCTATAGCTTTGGAAAAAATTCATATGATTCATTTGCATGTTAGCCTGTACAGGTAAAGCAGCAACACTGTCATAAAATCGAAGTGATTCAAGCAATTGGCGTGCTCTCAGTAAGTAGTTAAAATAAATTTAAGGTATTTCATGAACAAAACACCAACACTTCCAGTTACACAGCACGTGGCTGAAAAGTCAGATGGAGGAGACATGGATACAAAGTGGGCAGAGACTAAGGGCACATCATATATGACAAACACCAACAGTTCTGAAGGCAGGCAGTGGGGATAACCATGTGTACTGGGCAAATGGTTCAAGTAAATGTTACTTGAACACTAGGATTTGACAATACTATGCACAATGGCATAAATTACTGCTCTGATTCTAGTTATAGTGCCAAATGGTTTCATCTCTCTAATTTTCCCCTTACTGAGCAACAAATTCCATTTCAGGTTTTAACACACGGGTTCAGAAGGAAGATTTCAGTTGCACATGGACTTTTCTAGTGGCTGCTCGATCTCCAAACCCTTTTCATTGCACCTGTGAGCTTTTCCATTACTGAGCAGAACGCGCACCGAAGTTCGCCTGGATGATAAATGGGAGAGCTTTTTGAATTTAAACCCAGGGCTGGATGCTAAAATTTGATTTTTCTAACTAGGCTGATCTTAAGTGCTCACAGTCAAGCATTATCACCATAGGCTTGGCCTCAGGATTCAAAGGGACAGGCCAGTGTGGCCCACTGGCACCAAAGAAGGCACAACCCTCCATAGAACTGGATGCTGGACATCCACAGCTCACTTTCCTAGTAAGACCAAGATCATCCTGTCACAAATGTAATGATATTAGCAATAACAATGCTAAAGTAACATCTGGTTAACAGCTATCTCAGGTCCCTTAAATTCGTTCCATCTTTACTTAATTCACTAGTTTTCTCATCAATTCAAAGTTGAATGGCCCATAAAGAACCCCAGGCTTATGTATGTATGCACACTGAGGAAGTATCCCTACCCTACTGCTGGCACAGAAATTAATGTTTGCCTATATAAATTCCCCAAAGAGGGTGGTGTAAATAGTTAAAATCACTGTTATAATTTTATCTTTACCACCCTACATGGATAATTCTAAAGCATAAGATTAAAGTTTATTGCAAAAAGTTTTATGTCACAGAAATAAGTGTAGTGACAAAATTATACATGAAATCAGCCTTTTTAGAAGTTAATACCATTTTACATAGACGTGAATTTGCCACTAGGTAGGTCTCGGTCCTCAAACATGAACAACATATAAAGACAGGCAAAAGTTATAGCTGCGCTAGTTGATGAGGTCATTATAAAATTGCAATATAGGAAAAATATGGTGAAGAAATCAGATGGTGTCCAGCTATCAGAAAGAATAGTGTCTAGGATCTTTCAGACCTGTCTTAAAACAAATCGGCATCTAAACGAGATGTCAACTAAGTCCACACGGAAGGAGCATACCAGCCCATGTGATCCAAGGATTGTTGATAAAAAATCTGAGATCCAAGGAAGGTATTAGAGCTTAAATTCTGAGCACCCAGTTGCTGAGCTATGGATGACAGTGAAAATCCAATTGCACAGTCACCATGTATATTAAACCTCCAATGAATTCCCTCTAACCCATGACCAGGGATATGAACAGTCTTGTAAAGTGGATTACTGCAGGTATAGGTAGGTTAAAATTTAACATATTATAATTCACCAGTTCTCAAGCTGTGGGTCGTGACCCCTTTGGGGGTCGAAGAACCCTTTCACAGGGGTTGCTCGAATCATAACAGTAGCAAAAATACAGTGAGGAAGTGGCAACAAAAATAATGTTATGGTTGGGGGTCACCACAGCATGAGGAACTATATTAAAGGGTCGCGGCATTAGGAAGGTTGAGAACCACTGTATTAAACTATAAGGTATGTGAACGGCATCTCAATAAAACTGTTAAAAACAAACCAAAACCAAAAAATGAATTAATTAAAAAGAGGGAAAGAAAACAAAAATTAAATTATCACCACTATTTCAGCTCTAGACTGCATAGAGGTCACTCAGTACTCTTGCCACAACCTTCACCCTGACCATTTCTTCCAACCAGAGAGGACAGACAGACATCCTGGATCACTGGAACCCTGAGCCTTGGCCCAGGGAACAGGCAGAACTGTGAGCTTCCCACAAGAACATTCTGTCACTGCCATGTAGCATTGGGTGGGAGGTCACGTATTGATGGAACATCTTCCCTAAGAATCTGCACAGTATTTTCAATACGTCTCTATCTTTGTGCTAACCGGTCAGGTGTTGGTGCTTCTGGGATAAACAGGGGCCAAGGCAGTGAGTAGACCAGTCGTACCCGGTGCATGTGGCACATTGCCGGGCTGTTCCTTCAAAGGGACATACCAGACAGTTGTTTCCACCTGACCGTCATTAAGCTGCCGATTGTCCAGCTGGGCAAAGAGAGGGAAGAGCACTTGGATCCCTCCGATGGAGTGGATTGCACTGTGAATCGAGTGTGTGACGATAGCTTTCACATCCTGTGGGCAGAAGCACAAATGTGTTTTCAACTCTCATGACTATTGCCTGCTCCAAAATACCCTGGAAGAGAATTAAATCACATGCCTTCATATTTTATAAAGCCCCACAATTAAAGAACGCAATCCATTTGAATATAAAAATTGAAGTCTTTTTTAAAATCACTATTAAATTCAACTACATTTGATACCTTCAGTTAAGTCTTTCTAGACTAATAATATGATGCAATGAATCAAATTCAGATACTTTGGAATAAGAAACATAACTAATGGATTTAAAGACACCTGGGTAATTTTTATACTAGAAAGCATTCGTAATAAGTTCTTAAATTGTATTTTCATATATAACAAGCACTCAGGTAATCAATTTTATTTTGATGGAGACTGAACACACAGAACCATATCTACAGCACAGGTTTCCTTCTCAGAAAATAAGGCCCAGGGGTACAAGTCAAAGAAAGAGAATGAAAGGCAGATGACAAATACCACTTCAAAAGAACTAGAAAATAAAAGCAAACCGACAAGCAATGCACTTGTTTATAAAATAAATGAGCTCTCTTTGTTAATCATTATTAAATTCAACTAAACTTGAAATATCCAGTTGAGTCTTTCTAGACTGAAAATATGCAGCTACAGAGCCAAACCATGCTGGAGCAGGGTGGACAGCAGCTGTCCAGTCGGGCAGGGAGATGCTGGGAGGGCCCGTGAGCCACTGACCTGGAGCATCAGCGCGTGTGGGGAGTGGACAAAGATAGAGGCGTTTTCCTTGGGTGATGATTCAAGACACAGCTGGGCGTCCGTGGCCTTGGCGTTGTAGGTGAACGCGATGCTGCTGGCGAGTTTCCCATCATATAGAACCTGCTTGTGATGCTCGGCCAGGTGAATGTCACTCTCTGACTTAAATTTGAAGGTGCTCTGAAAAGAGGAAGCAAAGTGACCATCTCCAGCTCTGCCCTTCTCCACACGCAAGATGACACACTGTCCAGGCACTGGAAAGTGGGTCTCTTTCACATTACTTTCTATCATACTGTTAGATTGCTTGGTGTATTCTTATCTTCACTTCATTTCCATGAAAGATAAACCTATCAAGTTAATATACAGCCTTGTAGATCTCCAGAGTCCCACTTCTTGTAGTTTTCAATTATTTACCAAATCATTTGCCTAGACAATTATATAAAGCCAGGTAATGTCAAATGGAAGTAGGACGTCACTTTACTCTCTCCTTCCCTATACTTAGTTCTTGCTAAAACTTGTCAGGGAGGTTGGTGTCAGTGGAGAGTGGCTAGCACATGCATTGCTGTTATGGAAATGTAATCCTGTAGTCTTTGAAGACTACAGGAGTGCTGAGACATGAGCTATTTCTTTCTTTACTACAAAGCATAACAGAGAAGCTCCACAAGGACACAGCACGCTCCATGCTAAACTCAGAGGAGACGTTTGTTCAAGCATGTAGCTACTTTAACAAAAAGAAAAGCAGGAGAAAGGTACCAGCTGACATCAGAAAGGTGTGATTGGAATCTCTACAGATGTGAACTGGACAAGGGCAAAGACCATCCAACCTCTGCTGCCACCCCACAACGTGGGCATCACAGCATGGCAGTCCTCAATACAGCAGTGAGGACCACCTGGGAGGGATGAGAAGATCCAGGCGCAACACAGCCAGGACAGAATACTAGGCTTTCTGACTTGAGCTTGGAGTTCAACTGATTGGTAGGGCCGTGGACTGGCTTATAATCTTGGCACCGTACTAATTCCCTTCTTGACTCTAAGAAAGTCGCTTAGCTAACGTGGATCTAATATCCTTTATGTCACAAAAGTTAAATCAAATGTTTCAGGCATGTTCTTAAAAACAAGACACAAAAAAACCCAAAACTATACTCACCATAGAACAAGATAGAACTGTCCCTGTGGGTTACATGAGACTAAATCTGTATGTGAATATGTAAATCTTCATGTCTCATCTTTCTCCAGCAGAGCAGCTGGTGGTCTCAAACTGCTGACCCTGTGCTTAGGAGCCTAATGGATAACCACTACAGCACCAGGGCTCCTAAAAACAATGTTTCTGTCAACCAATCGTGTCTCATGGTGGCCACTTGGCAGGGTGGAGCTGCCCCCTGGATCTCCTGGACCTCTATCTTTAGGGGAGCACATTGCCAAGCCTTTTCTATCTCAAGGTGCTGATGGGTTTCAGACACCAACCTTCCCACTAGCAGCCATGCACTCAACCACAGCACCCCAGGGCTCGAACACAAATCTTAGAGGAAGCAAAAGTATATGCAGATATGTGAAGTCGATCTAGCGGGCCGTGTGCCATCTAAAAAGGGTCCCTGCTGCTCAGACCAAATCAGCCACTGCTTGTGCTACCACGGCTTCCTTAACAGTCAAAGATAAACATGAAAACTGAATTGTGTGCCAAATTTCCAAACTTTTCAACTAAAGTTGTGTGGTAGCCAAAAGTGCCAAGTCACATTGAGCCAGTTTGGACTACAACTGGGCCAGGCTATGGCTAAATAATCCCTCTGGCTCAAATCTGGAGAAAAACTGCTGGTGAGCAGGCGCAGACCCTTCTGGAGACAAAAGTGACACGAACAAGAAAGTCCTCGCGTGCATCTGGTCGTGGGTGGTGCTTTTTCTCTGCTAAATCCGGATGTGTGGAGATACTGTCCATCACAGAAATCACTCAAGTAGCCACAGTGTTAGGCTCTGACACTGTTGTGCATTCACCTAAATGCGGCATAGAACTGCACCTCTCAACGAAATGTTCCCAGGAGGCATCACCTCGGAAAGCTCCTAGAGTCCCTCTCCCAACCTACAGCAACACGGGATTTAAATATATCCCAGAATCAGCCATTACTGGGTTAAAATAAGGATTCTATTTCCACCCCCTCACATTGCAGCATCAAACCAAATCCTGCTGTCAATCGGTTCCGACTCACAGGGACCCACTAGGTCTAGGTCAAAGCAAGCCGCCCCTCAGGTTACCGAGACCATGTCTTTACAGGCGCAAGCAGTCTCACCCTTCTTCTGAGCAGCTGCAGGTAGGTTTAAACGATTAGCCTGGTGGTTGGTCACACAATGCATGAGCCGCAGTGCCACCAGGGATGCTTCACTACAGGATAAATACAGAAAGCAGCTGGCAGTGACAGTCAGTCTCTGCCTGGAACTACAGGTCAGCTGTGCTCCTCAGCCAGCAGTGTCAGCAAGAGAAGCCCACCAACCAGCAGCCTTCTTCCCCAATCCCTGGAGTTCAGTAAAGTATCCATGCTAGAAAGTTTCCAGTATTTTTAGGTGGTTCTGTTTTAACCCAATCCTTCTAAAGTAAACATTAAAACACTGCTGACGAATGTTAGGGAGCACTCATTAGAAATCAACTAAGGGTTTCACAGCCTAAGTAAACCGTGGACAACAAGGAGAGGCTGGGTGTGCACAGGCCGGGCACCAAGGCACGGGAGCAGCAGCTGGGGGAACAGGAGGCCCCAGACCTGCACCCTCTGTCACTGCCAGCGTTGGAATAGTCGGGAGTGGCACTGGTGTCTCATGGCATAGAGCAGCGGCCCCCTTTTATGTTGATGATGGCAAGCTCAGAAATGCCATCTCACCAGCTGGGAGCAGTCATAGAGGGGTAGGGGCACATGCTGTGGCTAGGAGGAGCTGCCTCAAATCCAGGGAATATTGTGGAAAGCTGTTGAAGGCAGATGGTAGTCTCACTAGAGGATGAAACCAAAATGAGCCCAAGGTCCACAGTGGCAGCCGGTCAGTGTTGCAGCAAGCAGAAAGGGCACTTAGGCAGGAAGGTCACAAGGGCAAGTGTTGCCCATCACCCACCAACAGCCTTGTCCCCACTCCTCAGCCACCAGTCAGGGTGGCTGTGGTGGCGGCCCCTGGGCACAGTGGAAGGTCTTTGCCTTGGCCATGCCTTCAGATGATGGGTTTCCTATGAGGTTCATGCCGTCAGCACCAATAGAGGTGCACTGGCCTGTGGAAGTCTCCACGAATAGCCTTGGCTCACAGAGATGTATGCAAACCAATGAGACGTGAGAAGTAATGAATTTAAATAACACCTTCCGTAATACTAGCTGCAACTGAAAAACTGCAAATGGAAAACTGTATCATGAAATAAAAGCCACACATGCGAAAGCATGAAAAATGAGACTACTTGCTTAGGTAATACACATAATATGATAAATCACCCATTTAAATTAAAGCATAGAATGTGATTTGAATTTCCCTCTGAACAAGTTCCAAAATACATTTGTATTTATTTCTGATTTCCTCTACTTTTCCAAGCATGACGGTCTTCTCCAAGAAAGATCAATATCTCCAGTACTGGAGATGAAATCTTGCCATTCTCACATATTTATATTTATTAAATATAATTATATATTTTATGGAACAGAACAATAAGCATTTGTTTTAGTCACAAAGTATTTAAAAAAAACAGCATAAACATGTGGATTGAAGAAATCGTCAAGGAATGTTAATTGTGGTTATCCCTCAAACAGAATCCTCACACTCCCTGTGTGAGGTAAAAAGGGTACAAGCACGGTAGCACGTGCTACCGTGTAGCACGGTAAAAAGGGAGCGAGTCATACTGACTTCCTAGACCCAAAGAGCGTGTGCACACGCACACCCTGGTTTGTTGACTGAATGATCTACAACACAACCAACTACTCACTAGAGGACACAATACGGGAATAACTAGGAGTATAATAGTTGAAGAGGTTTTAAAAACAAAGCCAAAAATTATGTTACACATTATCTCAAATTTCATAAAATTAAAACCTGAAATTCTCTTTAACGATATAGGTTTGTCCAAGTCTCATTCAGATTACAACGAGAATTCATGGCAGAGGTAACGACATTCAATTGTTAGCTATAATACAGTGTGATTCACAATTCACCCTACTACACCACTTAGAATTTCCAGTAAAAATTTTTTTAAAGTTCAGAAATTTTAAATGAACTCTTATTGCTGTTGATAAGTTCAAGTTGGTTCATTTGGAATCACCACAAGCCCGTGTACAACTGAAGAAACACTGCACCACCCTCACAACTTTCTTGTTACGTTGGAGCCCGTTATAGCAGCCCCTGTGTCACCCCGATGTGCTGGGGATTTTCCTCCTGTTCACCCATCCTCCACTTTGCCAAGCATAATGCCCTTCTACAGGGACTGGTTCCTCCTGATGGCATGGTCAAAGCAGGTGAAATGACATCTTGCCATCCATGCTTCTCACGAACATTCTGGCTTTTGAATAAATATCTGTGTTCTTCTGGCAGAACACAGTGGATTACATATTTGTGTTAGTCCAGGTAGACTGGAGAAACAAATTCATAGACACTCATCTGTATATAAGAAAGAGCTTTATATAAAAGAGTAATTGTACATTAAGAAAGCATCCCAACCCAGTCCAGATCAAGTCCATAAGTCTGATACTAACCCATATGTCCAAACCAATCCATAAAGTCCTCTTCAGACTCACGAAGCACATGCAGTGCCGCCGAATGCAGGAAGATCATAGGCCAGTGGGTGGGATGTCTTGTGGATCCAGTGGCATTGTAAGCATCTCAGTTCTGGCAGGAGTCTCCATGTGGCTTCTCTAGCTCAGGGCACTAGTGTAATTCCATGTGTCTTGTCAGCTGCAATGTCTCCCAGGGAGTGAGCAGAGAGAGTGTCTCCTGCCTCCAAGGAGGAATACAGGAGTTCCCAGAATCCTCAGGGGAAGGCAATGCCCACACAGAGGTCTCATTGGCTATGAACTGATTGGCAGGCTAGACTCCACTCCCTCGCTCTTACTCCTCTCAGATTAACGATTATACAGCTACCGCTGTATTCCTCACCAACACCAGGGCAACAAGCTTTCTCCAGTCCTTCCTTATTCTTTCGCCAGCTTTCACATGCATGGGAGGACACTGGA